AGAGAGAGAGAGAGAGAGAACCGGAGATTTGAGACCAGTGAGTGTTGGAATCAGTGTGGGAAACAGGAAAGGGAGCTCACGAAAGATGGGAAAAGGAATGCTAATCAAAAGGAGTTGTTCTTCCCAGCTTCCCCTTCCTTGCTGCCCTTAAAGACAACCCCACGAGACCATTTCCTCTTCATGTTAATGTTTTTACTGCTAACCACTCTGCAGTGGTTCATGTTGTGTCAGAATGGAAAAGAGTGAAGTTGTGTATGTGTTTTGAGGTGGCATTCTGATATACTCCCTAGAGAAGCCCTTGTATTACAAGGAAATAATGAACATGGGCAATGAGAATAATCTTTGTGTTCCCAAGTCAGTAGTTCTAGACTCAGCTGGTGGAACTGAGTCTTACACTTCAGCATTAAAGGGTTTTCGGATTTTAATAGAAGAGAAGATGTCCTGTTGGTTTACAGTGAATACCTTCTGGTATCTCCTCACTGTTTATGTGTCCTCTCTGCTGGGTGTTTATTTCACTGAAAACAGGGAATACCCTCTTAGCACCCTGAGCTTGGCACTCTGTGTGGTGGTGATCGGTTTCTTTGCTTCCCTCCTGGCCTATAAGCATGTTCCCCATTTTGTATTCTGAGTTCTGGCCCAGGGCCTGTCTGGTGGACGTGTGACAGATATCGGATGAACTGTTGGCTGAAGTGAGGGCTGAGTCATCCTGGCTGTGCTGTTTCCAGTGGCCCTGCCTCTGGGAGTCCTGCCGGAGAAGGGTTATCGTAAGTTAATGGTGGAGAGGTGTACTTAAAACCTTTTCATGTTTTTCTTCTAAGAAACCTGCTTGAATTAAAGTTTATGGAAACTGTCTTGGGAGAAAACATTCAAATATCATTTGTATTCAGGAGGCCACTGGAAGAGTTTCTTTGGTGTGAATCAAGATGGGCTAATTACATTCTAAAGTTCATGTCTAGACACTCCCCTTGTAAATTGCCACAGAAATATTTCCCACTTCTGTTCTGGCTGTTCCTTCCTAGGGTAATATCCCAGCCACATGTAGAGGTGCATGAACCAAACCATGATACTTTTCTATCTTTACAGTGTATTCTTCTACTTAATAGTCACCTAACTCACCAAGGTTCTCAGTCTATGTCAGTAATGAGCATTGTTTGGTTTTTATCCATTTTCCCCTTTTCTTGCCTGATTCAGTGAAGAGGAGCATTTGCTTTCTACCAGAAGCCTTGGTTTTCTGGGGAAATACATATAAAAAAAAATCACTGGATTTGTCCTTGTTTTGGCATGACTGATGAAGCAAGCAGCTGCTTAATAAGAAGCAAAGCTGGGAGTAGAACAATTTAATTATAGCTTCTGTCTGTTGAGCCTTTAATAGAAGCCACAACTCGACTATATGGAGCTCTTTAGTTTTAAATGAAACATTTTTGCAAAGGGAGACTCAAACATGTACCCCAAAGACCCCAGTTAAGTGAAAGTATATCTATTAAAAATATAAAATAACCAGTATAACAAAGACTTAACAAAAACTGGCTTTTTTAGGAATGAGGAATTTCTTCTTTTTTTCTTCCAAGTTGTTATTTAAATTCTAGTTAGTTAACATATAGTGTAATATTGGTTTCAGGAGTAGAATTTAGTGTTTCATCCCTTACCTGTAACACCCAGTGCTCATCACAAGTTCCCTCCTTAATACCCATCACCCATTTAGTGGTTTCCTACCCCCATCCCTCCATCAACCCAGGGTTTTTTTCTCTGTCATTGAGTCTCTTATGGTGGGGTGCCTGGGTGGCTCAGTTGGTTAAGCATCTGCCTTCGGCTCAGGTCATCATCTCAGGGTCCTGGGATTGAACTCCACATTGAGCTCGGCATCTCCCTCTCCCTTCGCCCCTCCCCCCTGCTTGTGCACGCACACGTGCTCTCTCTGTTTCTCTCTCCTTCTCCCTCTCAGTTAAATAAAATCTAAAAAAAAAAAAGTTTCTTATGGTTTGCTTCCCTCTCTCTTTTTTCCGCCTTCCCATGTGTTCATCTGTTTTGTTTCCTAAATTCCATGTGTTAGTGAAATCGTATGGTATTTGTCTTTCTCCGACTGACTTATTTTGCTTAGCATAATACACTCTAGCTCCATCCAGGTCGTTGCAAATGGCAAGATTTCATTCTTTTGATGCCTGAGTGATACTCCATTGTGTGTGTGTGTGTGTGTGTGTGTGTGTGTGTGTGTGTGTGTGTGTGTCTGTACCACCTCTTCTTTAGCCATTCATCAGTCGATGGACATTTGGACTCTTCCATAATTTGGATATTGTTGATAGTGCTGCTATAAACATCGGAGCATGTGCCCCTTTGAATCAGTATCCGTTGTATTGTTTGGGTAAAAACTCAGTAGTGTAATTGCTGGGTCATAGGGTAATTCTGTTTTTAACTTTTTGAGGAACCTCCATACTGTTTTCCAGAGTGGCTGCACCAGTCTGTATTCCCACCAACAGTGTAAGAGGGTTCCCCTTTCTCTGCATACTCACCAATATCTGTTGTTTCCTGTGTTGTTAATGTTAGCCATTCTGATAGGGATGAGGTGATACCTCATCATGGTTTTGATTTGTATTTCCCTAATGCCAAGTGATGTTGAGCATCTTTTCATGTGTCTGTTAGCCATCTGTGTCTTCTTTGGAAAAATGTCTATTCATGTCTTCTGCCCATTTCTTAACTGGATTATTTGTTTTTTGGGTGTTGAGTTTGATAAGTTCTTTATGGATTTTGGATACTAGCCCTTTATCTGATATGTCATTTGCAAGTATCTTCTCCCATTCCTAGGCTGCCTTTTAGTTTTGTTGATTGTTTCTTTCACTGTGCAGAAGCTTTTTATCTTGATGAAGTCCCAGTAGTTCATTATTGCTTTTGTTTCCCTTGCCTTTGGCGATGTTTCTAGGAAGAAGTTGCTGCTGCTGAGGTCGAAGAGGTTGCTGCCTGTGTTCTCCTCTAGGATTTTGATGGTTTCCTGTCTCACGTTTAGGTCTTTTCTCCATTTTGAATTTACTTCTGTCTACAGTGTAAGAAAGTGGTCCAGTATTCCCAACACCATTTGTTGAGGAGACTATCCTTTTTCCATTGGATATTCTTTCCTGCTTTGTCGAAGATTAGTTGACCATAGAGTTGAGGGTCCATTTCTGGGCTCTCTATTCTGTTCCATTGATCTAGGTGTCTGTTTTTGTGCCAGTACCATACTGTCTTGATGATGACAGCTTTGTAATATAACTTGAAGTCCAGAATCCTGATGCCTCCAGCTTTACTTTTCTTTTTCAACATTCCTCTGGCTATTCGGGGTCTTTTGTGGTTCCAAACAAATTTTAGGATTGTTTGTTCTAGCTCAGTGAAAAATGCTGGTGGTATTTTGATAGGGATTGCATTAAATGGGTAGATTGCTTTGGGTAGTGCAGCCATTTTAATAATGTTTGTTCTTCCAGTAGGAATGAGGAATTTCTTAATGGTGAGTTGTTCGAGTGCTTCTTTGTTAATGTACTAGTTAATAGTTCATAAAATGGATAATGTTGTGTGATACCTACTGTTCTGTAATTTTAGCAAACATTAATGAAACAAATGCTCATTATATAGTTGAATTTTAACAAAAGTAAGTAAGTAGCTAATGTCCAGCCACCCTCCAGGACTAGCAGGGAACATACAGAACCCTTTGGGGCAAACCATCCTCACACTGAAGATTACACTCTCCACTCTTTTCTGGTTACTGGTTTCATTTTCTTCGTTTATCTGCCCACCTGGCCTCCAGTTCCCCATTTGCTTTAATCTTAGAAAACCATTTTCCCTTTTACATCTTACTTAGTGAATTATAATGATGTTTAATTTATGTACAAAACTTTTATGTATTGGTTAATATTAAACCTAGGCTAAAAGATCACAAATTAAATTTTTAATACCCTAAAACACATGTTGAATTAAAAAAAAAAGTAAATGAGCAATAAAGTTAATGGAATCTCATGGAGGAGAATTGTAATATCAATATTTTTACTGAGCACACACACCAGAAAGAAAGAATGGGGAAAGAACTCATTACAGACACATGAGTTCTGTCAGAAGGGGCCCTGTGGGAGCCTGATTCTTATTACAAGGTCCTAGTTGGAAGGGAATGAAGTGGGGTTATTGCTAGTGCAGTCAATGACTTGGCTTTTCTCTAGTGAATTGGCTTCAGTAGGGGACTTTATTTCTTCACATTAGGCAGCTGGAAATATGTATCAATTCATTTCCTTTTCATTTGAGAGTCAGCTCTATCAAAGATGGAGCCATTTCTAGAAATGCTGTATTTGCTGGATATGAGCAAATGCTTTAGTGTCTTTCTTTTGAATGTTCCTAAGATTTTTAGGGTCCAAATAAAGTTCAGTTCAGTGATAGGAAAAAATACTCTGAATGTGTATATATGCATATTACTATTCTTTCTGCTAACTCTACCCTTAAAACCTGAAGCTCTTTTATAAAAATCTTTTATTTTAGAGATACAAAGTCACGGAGGATTTTTGGTCCAAGGATGTGTGGGATTGCAGAATACTTTTTAAAAGTTAAATACTAATTTAAGCAGCAACAGTGGTATGGTTCTTTTCTAAGATGGGATTATTCTTATTAAGATTTTAATTTTGTTTCAAATGTCATTTGTCTCACTGTACAGTTAGTTTTTATAATGTAATTATTTTGTTTTGATATTGTAGATAATCTTAGCTTTATAATGATTTTGGCCTAATTGTTTCTAGAAATTATCTAATGGACTCATTTTATAGATGAGGAAGTTGAGGCATAGAGAAATCAGGTGATTTTTCCTAAGTTTAATTAAAAATGTTACTAAAAGAATACCTTCAGTTATAGTACTTGAAATGCTCTCTTAATATTAAACTCAAAGACTTAGATAATTTTGAAAATCATGCTGTTAAATTTGCCTTCTAAAATTGATAACAGTGAGATATTTAGGATAATTTTTCCCATTTTTATTTTAAATACAAATACAAGATACACGACAACTAGCTGGTAAAGAATTAAAAGTCTATTAGTTTCTTTGTATTCTTACATTTGTGCTAAATTAAGATAAATTACTAAAAATATAAGCACATACTCTTAAAAAAATTAATTTAGATTTCTTATGAGCAATTTAAAGCAATTGAAAGCCATTGTTTTTTCTTAACAGGTTGAAGAAATATGGACACCAACACCAAACTGATCTTCAGCACTGTTTTTACCAGCTTTCTCACCTTTCAGCTTCTTTTCTACTTTATAAGTTTCTGGTTTTCAGCAAAAGTTTCTCCAGGTTTTAATAGTCTCAGCTTTGAGAAGAAGATTGAATGGAACTCAAGGTAAAGCATCTGAAAATGTAACTGATTTTAAAAAGTTAGTTTTATGAACTAAAACTGTTTAAAATATTTCCAAAAAATCTTTCATTTAAGATCTAACAAAATTTAAGGTCAGATCTTTTATTTGACCTTACGAATAAAAGGAAAGTAAGTAGATAGATCTCATACAAGAAAATTATAAAAAGTCTTCTATTGAAAGATGTTAGGAAAAATTGAACTTTCTGGGGAAGCATGGGAAGGTTAAGGAGACTCCAGCTGACTGCAGAAGAGTCCTGTTGTGCATTCTCCTCTGAAACGTTTATGATAACCAACACGTGCTCTCTGGAAGTGATCGCAGAAGTGAATGTTAGCTGTGGCTGTGAGTAGCCTATATATAGTGTTGGCTGGCTTAGCCAGACTGAGGGCAGTTAAATGCTATACCAGAGTGTGGTATATGGTTAGCACATCTGTATCTCTCTTTTAATGAACTTTTCATTATAATTCAGAGCCCATCGGAACCTATTTTTTTTGTTAAAGTAAAAATTGCTTTTTAGATTTTATTTAAGGCAAAAGAAAAAAATGTAAAATGAGTAGTACCTATAAGGGTATAGAAATCTATGGGAATTTTAATTAGTTGGCTTACAGATTTTTTGTGTGTGCAACTCATTAACCTTTCACAACATTTCAAACACAAAATGACTCTGATGACCGTTTCACGTGCTTGAGAGCTTTTCGCCCCCACGTCACCATGCATTTGCAAACTGGTGAATTGGAGCAGCTATGGGTATATTTTTTGTTGTTACTTACTTGAAGTTAATGCTAACTATAAAATGAATTCAGCAGGTCTCTAAAATTGCTATAATTATTTTTCATTGCAATTTCCTTTTAGAATTAACTTCTGCCAGAGTCTAAGTATTTATTTGAGAATGGTCACATTTGACAGGAAATCCCTTATCTTTGAGCCAAGCTGGTTTGTAGGCATCCACTTTGTAACTCAGATTGTGATTAAGACTTCAGTTGTTTCCTCTTGCACCTTACATTGATTTTTCTGGTTCATACACGCTATAGCTCCTTTTACCCAAAAAGTGAGAATTATTTCTCCATGTAGTTTTGAAAAATAAGAAGTATGATTTTTTTTTTATCTTAAAAATAGTACAGAGATGTTGTTCACAAGTGGGATACAAAAGATACTAGCCATTATTTTTTAAAACCCTTTCTAACATGAAGATAGGTAGAAGAGGGAAAGAGAAGAAGAGGCGAGGAGCGGGATGGGAGACAGATTTTCTGAGAGTAAATTTTGAACTATTTTCATTTCCCTTTCACCATGGTTAGGGTAGGTAAGGGCATTTGAATCTTGGAGAGCAGCAAGCCAAAGAAATAGGGATGGTACAGAGATAGAGGCAAAGATGAAATGAAATGAAATTGAAAAATACTTTGCATTATTCAGTCTTATCACTGCCATTCTGTGGTGCACAGAATCACCATTTGGGAAACCGAGTTCCTATTTGAAAAAGGAGTCTGGGATTATAGAATATTCATTACCCTATTCAAATGGAGTTCTCTCTGTTTCTCTCTCACATTTACTCCTGTTCCCACTCCAGTTTGGTTTACATGAGACTTAAGCTGTGAGGTAGAGTGTAAAGAAAGAAAAAAGATTTGCTGCTTTTTGAGTAAAGTACATGTATATGTCTTGAAATCCACCTTCCAGTCTTGAAACACCCAGATCAGCACAACCCACATAATTCTTACTAATAATCAGGAAAGAGTCTCTAAACAATGCATGGTCTAAGCCCTACAGTAGAAAAAGGACAGGAGGAAAAACAACTCACCAAAAAATTCACACCTGAGAGATGACAGTTTAATTAAATATAAGTGATATATTGCTGTACTTAATTGTTGCTTTTTCAGAAAAAAAATACATACTTACAGGTATTATTTATATCTTACAATTAAAAAACATTTTCTTATATCCACTTGTTTTCTATGGTATAGGAAGTCCTATTGTGTTGAAATACTCCTAATTTTAAAATCCGCTTCTCTAATTTTTAACTCTTGTCTGTTTGGGCTATATAATTTCTATTGGTAATACCCCTACTACTTGCAAATGGTTAAATCAGTAACTTTAAATTGCTATTCTACAATGGTCATTATTTCCATTATCTCCCTGTCTATCTATTAGCACAAACATTTCTTTTTAATCTTCTTTGAAAAAAAAATTTTCTTTTGGGTAGCATCTTGGTGTTTCATTTTAGACAGTAAGGAATCTACACCCTGCTTTGCCAAGAGTCTGATTTTAAAGAATAGACTGTGAAATGTTTACTAAACAGAAGTTTCTGAAAGTATAGACTTTTAATGCAGGAGAGTATGTAAGCAGAGGGTATTTGCTTTTCCTGATCCAAATAAGATTTAACTTTTCTCTCATGAATTATATGCCATTTCCATCAGCTAAGGGCTTGTAATCCTTCCCATTTACCATGTAACATTTCAACACAAAGGGAATTTGAGGGCTGAGTATCAGGAACAAAAAGTTCTCATTTTTCCAAGGGGAAGCTTTTTGATATAAGTTTATTAAACACTAAAACAAGTTAGTGAGAGGTTGTACTTTCTGCTTTCATAGACTTTTTGAATGGCAATAGAAAGCTGGTTGTATGAGTATTTAGATGGAGTGTCTTATTTGACATAAAAGAACTTACATCCTTAAACAGCTATGTTTGGAATATAGGTACGTTTGGCATGAAAATTCCAGACTTGTAAACCAGATAAATTGGGTTAACTATTCACACGTCAAAATGTTCCTTTGGTATTGCAAAGTATTCTTTGTCAGTGCCTTTAAATTAGTGAGGATCTTTGATCATTTAAATATGATTTGATTTAACATGATATATCTATTTACGCCCACATCATCTATTAGATCAAGCATATTGATTTTTCAAGTTACTATAAGATTTTCTAATATCAAGCTTCAGATTGGTTGATATATGTCACTGTTAAAGATTTGGGGTCATATTTTAGACAGAAATTTCTTACATCCTATTAATTTCTAAAGAAAATTTTGCTGTTCCTTTTATCCTTTATTCTAATGAAGAGAAAAGAAACTTCATTTCTTATAAACTTTTTCATTGTGTGAGTAAAGATATTGTACCCTATGTAGACTTCTTTAAGTAGCATATCGTAGAGCTTGGGTGTTAGGTTAATCCATTAAATTATTAGCAAGATATGTTCATAGAAACTGATGTTTTTCATCTAAACCTTATTCCTTCTATAAAAGAAAATTCAGCCTGGATCTCGTGAACATTTTGCTTTCACTTGAGCATTTCTTTTAAAAATAGATTTTCTGTATAAATTCATGGTCCTCAATTTTTCTATTTAGAAGTGGTTTCATAATAATGATAAAAAGAGACTCGTAATAGCTGCTCTAGCTTTCTAATGGATTGGTTACAGGAACCAAGTGTAGCATGCATGGGAATGTGCATTTAACACTGAAATCTCCAAGGCAATACATTTTCATTTCACGATCCATTCAAATTCTGATTCAGGGATTTAGAATTGGTTAAGGTCAGTAGATTTGGAAGTTATTCCTCACTGATTGGAGCAGGAAACTAATGCTGCAGTGATGCTGGTAGGGATGGGGCTTGGAGCAAGGTGCTGGGCAGTGGACTTGCCAGTTGCCGTCTATCTGTACAGAACTCTGTCAACTGCATCATCAGATAAGCTTCTGCTTTGAACTTTTTTTTTTTTTTTGAACTAGGCTCCATGCCCAGTGTGGAGCGCAACATGGGGCTTGAACTCAACGACCCTGAGATCAAGACCTGAGCTGAGATCAAGTCGGATGCATTGAATGAGCCCCCCAGGCACCCCTGCTTTGGAATTTTTAACCAATAAGTGATTCCACAATTTTCTAGCAGGAAACTGTAGACCTGGGCATCTTTCTTGTTATTAATTCCAAAGTAAACTCATAGCCCTTGGATTTCTAAATGGCAATTTTGTATTATACTCTTAGATGTACTCCATTCCTATATTTAAATGCTTCCAGATTTAACTTCTTCAAAATGTTAAATGTTTTGACAGAAATACAGTTCATTGCAAAGAATCTAAAATCTTTGTATGTATTTTGTTTCATTTCAGGGTAGGATCTACATGCCATTCTTTGGTGGTTGGGCTTTTTGGCTTGTACATTTTGATTTTTGATGAGGTTGCAAAGGCTGATCCACTTTGGTAAGCTGTTTCTTTTCAATATAGTCAATTTGATTGATGTTTTGATATTAATTATTAATAAGAACATTTCTTACTTTCAAATGGAAAACATATTGATGGCGCATGTTTTATTAAAATGCTTGTGTTCAGACTTATTTCAGCAAGGTGCAGTAAAAGGATTTATTTTATATTTGAATACCAATAATGAGGGCCACTTTGTACTAGTGTCACAGTTGTTATCCAAGACAGGAGAATATGATGATGATGTAAACATTTATACTGAGTTAGTGAGTAAAACCAAGTTGTTGTAACCACTGTTCTGAGCAAAAATGAGTTAACTATTGAGATAGGATAGTCAAGTTGGATAATAATCTACTTAAGACTCAGTCTTGTGTTCAACCCATCATTTGATCTCAAAGATAAAAATGAGGATTATAGATGTCCATGTAAGAGGAAGTTAGTACCGCATGAGAAGATTTGAAATACTGATAATAACGATGTTCAGCAATAATAGGATAATTTCTAAGATCACTCTTTGAAAATTTTAAATGTCATTCCAATGGCAGAGATACTGCAAACTGTATTTCCTGGCATTATACAAGAAGGCTTAGTTCAGCTTAGTTTGAGATGAGGTATGTTTGCGAAAGCACTGCGTAAATGTAGTAGATATGGACTCTGGAGGATGTGGGACAATTTAATTTTTGACTGTTTGCAGCAATATCATTTTAATAAATACAGAATTATGCCCATCAGAATTCTACCAGTATTGATAAGTTTTCTTTGGGAAGGTATTTTTCAAAGTGATTCAATTTAGTGTTAATTCCATGATGAGGTTTTTATGTAATCTACCTAAACTGTTTCTAAGTTTTTTCTCCTAATTTTATTGTAGTAATGATTGTCAACAGAACCAGTTCTTTTGGGAGATAAATTTTATGACAAAGATTTAATTCACTGATCAGTTTTTGTCCTTATCAAACTTTTACACAGTATAATTTTTTTTTTAAAGATTTTATTTATTTATTTGACAGGGACACAGCGAGAGAGGGAACACAAGCCGGGGGAGTGGGAAAGGGAGAAGAAGCAGGCTTCCTGCTGAGCAGGGAGCCCGATGCAGGGCTCGATCCCAGGACCCTGGGAACATGACCCGAGTCCAAGGCAGACGCTTAACAACTGAGCCACCCAGGCGCCCCATAGTATAATTTTATAAAAAAAAAATTATACTTTCATACAAGACTTTCTGGATGGTGACTACTCTCTGAACGGACAGAGAGTCTTTTTTTTTTCTTTTTTTTACATTTTCCTTAATGCTGCAGTTTAGTCCAGGTTCAATTTTCCTGGGTCATATTTGCAGATCAGAATTTGTAAAGTAGACAGGACTTCTGCTAAACCTTTCCATTTGCAATTTAGCTGTTACCAGTTTAATTTTGTGTTCATTTCAGCAGTAGTTTACATTATAAACCAAACACAAGACTGATAGTTCGTATTTGTTTCTTGGAGTAAAGATAATTATTAGGGCAAATTGTAGGATCTTGATATATATGTGTCGAAACAGCAGGATTAAACTGTCCTGTGTGACCATTTTCCAGTTGTGTGACAATAGGCAGATCTCTCCAGTCATCAGTAAAGTGATAGTGATCTAGTATATTGCCTTAAGATCAGGGGCAGGATGGGGCACCTGGGTGGCTCAGTCGTTAAGCGTCTGCCTTCGGCTCAGGTCATGATCCTAGGGTCCTGGGATCGAGCCCCGCATCAGGCTCCCTGCTCGGCGGGAAGCCTGCTTCTCTCTCTCCCACTCCCCCTGCTTGTGTTCCCTCTCTCACTGTGTCTCTCTGTCAAATAAATA